CCACATGACACAGTAAAGTCCATTTGTAAGACGCTCTTGGGATTTTTCCTGTTGAGTGAAAACACAGAATTTTCTCCTAAAAATTTAGACACAAAGTAATAACCAGTCCACCGTAGGGAGATGTCCCTTTGAAGGGCACTGTTAAAAGACGGCCGATCAGAACTGAGCACCTGGTAAGATAATCACCACTCAGGAAGCACCTCCTTCCAGTTATTCATTAATTAAATATTCCTTTATTTAAAGCAAGGACTGTTCCCCAGGTACTGGAGAAACAGCACTCAAAGACAAGTGGCTCCCAGTCTAATGACTATTTCTCAAACTGTGGGAGCTCCTACATCAGAAGTCCTCTGGTGCTTCTCTCAGAGGCAGATGAAGGGTCCCACCCTTGGCTAGAGGAATCAAAACCTCTGCAGCTGAGCCTGGGAATATGCATTTTGCACACACTCCCTGGGCAATTCCTGTGCACACTCATGGTTGAGGACCACTAGTTTAAGATGACTGGTAATGACAACACAATGTGATAAGTGGAAGAACACTTAAGATTTCAGGAGAACACAGAACAGTGATGCCTACCCCAACTTTTAAAAATACTTTTTAGTGGAATAGTAACTATGCAGGTTAAAAAGAAGCAAATAGCTTTCTTCTAAATGAAGCTAACATGCAATGGGAGAATGGTAGGTTTTATGAACAAGGTAGAAGATTAGAAGAAAACCCAAGTCATAAACATTGCTCCGACTTTTTTTTTTTTTTTTTTAAGAGATGGAGTCTCTCTCTGTTGCCCAGGCTAGAGTATAGCGTCACCATGAAAGTTCACTGCAGCATCAAAGTCCTGGGCTCAATTGATTCTCCCATGTCAGTCTCTGAGTAACTGAGACTATAGCCACATAACACCATACCCAGTTAATTTTTTAATCTTTTTTTTGTAGAGACAGGGTGTCACCATTTTGCCCATGCTGGTGTCAAACTCCTAGGCTTAAGCTATTCCCCCTTAGCCCTACCTTGGCCTCCCAAATCACTGGGATTACAGCATGAGTCACTGTGCCTAGCCTGCTTCAACTCTTCACTGCGTGTGCAATTCTCATGTCAGTTTCTGACTTGATCAAGAAACTGCACCAACACTGTCAAAAGTCTCACTCCAACTTAAGCAACTGCAGGGCAATATGAGCCTGGGTTCTTCACTCTTTGCATAGGTTTCCGTATGACTTTAGCAGGATGCCTGCAATTTAACCAACTACTTAATATTCATTCTTTGGAAGAAGAGAGATATGGAGTTACCTTGGTCTGTCACTGACTGACAAATCATGTTACTTCTCTGAACTTCAATTTTCTCATCTGTAAAACCAGAATAATCACTAAGAATGAGACAACACAATATCATGTACCTCCTGGTATGATGTGCTGAAAAGGATACTACATCATTTCGCTAGCATTTCTGTGAAAAATACAAAACCCAAACGGTAGGATACATCAGAGAACCTCAAACTGAAGGACTTTCCATAAAATAGCTGTCTGTACTCTATAAAAATATCAAGGTCACAAAAGATACAGACTGAGGAATCATTCTAGATCAATGGAGCAAAATAGATGCAAAAATAAACATATGGCCAGGCTCGGTGGCTCAGCCTGTAATCCTAGCACTTTGGGAGGCTTAGGCAAGTGGATTGCCTGAGCCTGCGGGTTCCATACCAACCCAGGCAACTCAGCGAGACCTCATCTCTACAACAAATCAAAAATTAGCGGGGTGTGATAGCGCACAGCTGTAGTTCCGGCTACTTGGAAGGCTGAGGAGGAAGAATCACTGGAGCCCAGCAGGTTGACGCTGGGGTGGTTGTGAGCATGCTACTGCACTCTAGTCTGGGTGACAGAGAGAATCCAACTCAAAAAGAAAAAGAAAACAATGTGGAGGGGAGGGGGCGGGGAGATGAGACTAACAGTAGTGAAAATCTGACTGGGGGGGCACACCTCATCAGCAAGGGTACCTGCACAATGAATATTTGTATACCTAACCCTGAAATGTATCCCACAATTTTAAAATAAAAAAATTTAAAAGTTAAAAAAAAAAAGAAAAGAAACATAGAACATGATCCTGGAAAGGATATTAGATTGTAGAGAAAATAACTGTAAAAGACCTTACTGGGACAACTGACGAAATGTGAGTATGGACTACAATCTGTGAATCTGATGCTAGTATTATACCAGTGTTCAACAGCTTAGTTTTGATCCATGTACTGTGGTTTTGTAAAAGAGTGATTATGTTCCTAGGAAATACACACTGAGTATTTAGGGGTAAATAGGGGTGGTGCCTCCAAGTCCCCATCAAGTAGTTCAGAAAACAAGTAGGTATAGACAAAGAATTCCTGTGCTTTGTACTAGTCTTACAATTTCTTTGTTTTTGAAGTTGTATCAAAATAAAATTACTCTTCAAAGCTATCAGGCCATGAAAAACAGGGGAAGACTGAGAAACTGTCCAAGATTGAAGGAGACTAAGGAAACATGACAACACCACACAATGTGATTGGTATTCCTGGATTGTATCCCAGAACAGAAAAAAGATATTAGTAGAAAAACTGGCAAAATCCAAGAAAAAAAGTTAGTCATTTAGTTAATATAACGTGTGATATCAATTACCTAGTTTTGACAAATATATCAAGATTATGTTAAAATGTTAACATTAGAGAAAACTGGAAGAAGGGCACACATTTATAAATGTGTATAATCTTAGCGATTTTCTGCAGATTGAAATTATTCTAAAATAAAAAGATTATTTCTTTTTTTTTTTTTTTTTTTTTTTTTTTTGAGTTGGAGTCTCACTCCATCTCCCAGGCTGGAGTGTAGTGGCATACTCACGGCCACCCCAGCAACGACCTACTGGGTTCCTGCAATCCTTCCGCCTCAGCCTTCCAAGTAGTTGGAACTACAGGTGCACACTACCACACCTGACTAATTTTTTTGCTTTATTGTAGAGACGAGGTCTCACCAAGTTGCCCAGGCGAATCAAACTGTGGGCTCAGGCAATCCACTTGCCTCAGCCGCCCAAAATGCTGGGATTACAGACTGAGCCACCAAGCCCGGCCAAAAGATTATTTCTTAAAATTATTAAAACACGGGCCATGCCACTGCCCTCCAGTCTGGGTGACAGAGTGAGACTCTGACTCAAAAAAAAAAAAAATTATTAAAACACACAGAGTAAATGTCATCCCCAAAGGTAAAGAACATGACGCTGACCTCACAGCTGCCTAGGAATATATATCAAGAGCTGCTGTGTTAAAGCAGAGGTTCCCAAGTTCCATTGACCAAGACAGAATCAAAATTAAATCATTTACCAGAACCACTAAATTATAGTCTCTTGGGATGGGCCCACCAAGAATATTCATTTGAACAAGTACCCCAGGTGGTTCTGATGGGCACTCAGGCTTGGGCACCAGGTATCCGGCTCAGCACTTTCCAGACTTAACTATGCACAGGAACCCCTTGGGGATCTCATTAAAATGCAGATTCTGGGCCAGGAGATGTGTGGTAAGACCTGAGATTCTGCATTTATAATGTGCTTTCCCAGTGAATCCCCATAGATGGAGGGCAAAGCAACAACACAGAGAGGGCCTGGGTCTATGCCACTGTGGCGCATTCAGGACTGCTGCGTGTATGTGACAGACCAACTTCTATCTCATTGAAGTCATTGTTTTCTTAGGTTGTGACCAAATCTAATCCTAACTACATTTAGTGTTCACCAAGTATCCCCAGACATTTTTAAAAGGTAAAATTTAACCAGCATCTTGTTAAACATCACATGAAAATGGATAAACATTTGTTGACTAACACAAATATATGTGAAGCTACAGGACATCTCTACTTTTCTCTACCTGTATAGGTTGCTTCTGGTCTCTAAAGAACTACTCTAGAGAGCAATTAAAATGACAGTGATGTCCGGTTAAGGACACTTTTTTTGACAATAAACTGAAAATTTGCCCTTACAATTGAGTTTAAGTTAAACTAATTCTGATTTGACCTGTATAATTAATTCATTTTAATGATTCTTTTGGGTTCACACAACACCATATAACTCTTGCACTGGTCTTCCAACAGATAATACAATCTGACCAAGAAAGAAATTATAAATCATAAAATAATAATAAGATAATAAAGATTAGAGTTGTCATGGCTTTACAATTTTGAAAATGTAGAAAGCCACCTGGAATCCTATATTATATGCTTTATGAAAACTGTAAGCATATATTATTAGGTCTTAACACTTTTTTCCTTAAATCATTTGCTCTAGAATGACTACAGTAAAAGGAAGACAAAAATAACCATCCTGAGATAACCTATAATCAAATAATAAATGAGAACTATCCCGTACAGAGACAAGCTAGAAGATGCCTTTGCAGGTAAGACCAATTTTATAAGCCTTCTGATACTTTTTCATTCAATAAATATTTGCTAAGTATTTATTACATGCCAGACAATACGCTAGACACAGTGAATTTTACACTAAAAATAAAATTACAACTGGCTGGGATCCAAGACTGAGCCCCTCTACACTAATTTCATTATAAAGCTGTTAATATAACAAAGTACCAATGTACTTGGCTGCTTCTGCAAAAAGTGAAGAGAAAACTGATTCAAAGAATTAAGTTTTGTGTTGCCTGTGTTACAACAATCTGCATCTATTCATTAGTTACTGTAAGGCAGGGCTGGGACAGGCTCCACTGTGTCAACTGTACAGAGCTGGATCCACTTGTCCCTGCTGCCTTCCTCTCAGCTTCTGACACAAACCCTGTATTGACACAATCCAAGTAGATGCTGGAAGAGTATAAAAACCTCATCCATCCCCACTGTATGTGGTACAGAAATCAAACTACACTGCAACTATTATTGCACAGATTTTTCAACACACACAGAGAGACTGAGGGCGAAAGGGAAAAGTCATCCAAAGCCTATGAAAATTCCAATACAGAAAGAAAACTGAAAATAACCACCCAATTGCTGTACACCTTACTTACCTGATCAATTTCCATGAGTTTGGGGAAGGCGCCCGGCCATTCTATGGCCACCTTGACGATGTCTGCGGGGGGCGGCATTGTACACCCCCAAAATGTCCAAAGCCAGTGGGGCTGGAGATCCTACAGCAGATGGCCACACGTGTCTACACCTAATGAGGAATGACAGAAAGAGAAACAGAAGTCACTCAGCGCAGATGCAGGATGGATTTTGCTTCATCACTTCCTGTTTTCACTGGTGGTTTGGTAGAAAAACGGCTCGCCTTGGCGCCCCGATGCTAAAGGCGCAGGGGCAAGGGCAAAGGTACCACGGGTTCCCGAGGAAAGAGGAAAGATGGGGGACTGGTGTCAACGCCCTTGAATCAGAACCGTCCGGAGACGAGGCACTGAGGGGCCCAGCTTGGGCGAATCTTTGGTGGAAAGAAAGCTGCTCCTTACCACTGAGTTCTGCTCTGAATGGTGCCCAGGGTCTGAGTGAGCCAGGCTTACTCTCTGTCCAGACACGCATGTAAACGCCTAGTGCTCAACAGTCTCCGGAAGGACAGATTGCCCAGGAAGTCATGGTCAGGAAGCAGCATTTCTTTAAAGTGTTCTCTGTGTGTCACAAATAGATCTCCGCACTATAGCAACCAGGATATCATGAGGAAGGAGAATTACCCTGAGAGTTCACACATGCACACACACACATACACACACTCCCTCCCCAAGGCTGGTTTCACACAATGCACCTGGGGGGTGGGGAGAAAACCTACAGATGTGGATAGAGCAGCATTCAGAACAGACCTTGAATTCTCATTTGAATGCACAGTTCTGCTTATACAAAGGAAGTAGCCATTATTCTCTGTCGCCTCTTCCCAGGCTAGCCCACTTCTTTGTTTAACATAACTTATTGTGAACAGTCACGTGATTCAAACTTGTTTGATTATGTGCGTGCGTGCGTGTGTTTGTGGATATGAAGACATACAGTGTAGCGTCTCCTTTCTCCCATTGTCACCCACCCAATATCTGCTTTCATTCCTATCCGTCCAGCTATCCAAAGTCATCTGTCTCTTAGATATCTTCCAAAATTCTTCAAGTATAGAAGGCAAGTACAAAAACACATCATTATATTTCCACTTTCTTTATATGAAAGGCAGCATTCTATATCTTGTTTTCATTTAGTACACATTCTAAATCTTTCCGTGTTAGTACAAATAGAACATCCTCATTCTTTCTACAGCTACACAGTAGTCCATTCTATGGATGTATCCTGTCTGATGAACCAGTCCTCTGTTGTGGGCCATTTGGGTGATTTCTTACCTTGGGATATTATAAACAAGACGGTGATACATAAACTTATGCATGCCGAATTTTGCACATGTGCTAGTATCCTTACAGTAGATTCACAGAGGTTAAACTGCTAAGTCAAAGAGTATATGCAGGTTTAAATTTGATAGTTATTTCCAAATATCCCACCCCTGGAATTGTACCAATATACACTTCCTCTAGCAGTGGATGAGGTCGCCTGTTCACACACAGCCTCACCAACAGATTGAATTTTTTGCAAACCCGATGGATCAGAAAAAAAATCTCCATGTACCCTTAAATTGTATTTCTCTTATTGAGAGTGAGGTGGAACATGAGGAGGAAAAGTCACAGACTCCATTTTCTGTGAACTGTCCAAATACTTTGACCCATGTCTATTGGCTTTTTTTTTTTTTTAGATTAGAAAATATAGTTAGAAAGTAAACTAGAGAGAGAGAGAGAGAGAGAGAGAGAGACAGAGAGAGAAAGAGAGAGAGAGAGAGAGAGGAGATTCACTCCCCTAAGTAGGGGAAGGGAGCAAAAGCTAGGAAACACAGCCTGGCCAGTGTTCAAAGAACCACATGGCCACACCAAAGTTTAGTAAAGCAATGTCCAGCTTCTTGTTTTTTGTTTTGTTTTGTTTTGTTTAAGAAATTGATCTCTGTATGGAGATCTTAATCAAACATGTGCATTTGGACCTATCAGATGAGAATAAGCCTTGTCAGTTACTATCCTAGATCTCAGAGGCAGCTGGATGTTACTGAGACAATAGAGATAGCAGAGTTAATCATGGAAGCCTCAATAACACCGGCAGTGATATAAATAACTAACTTCAGTTGACAAGTAAAGGAAATGAACCAAAACAAGACTGCTGCTCTTTTGGCCAAAGATGATTAGGGAAGACTGCTGAGAAGCTAATCAGTGGTAACCAGCAAGAGCAAATCTGCAAAGCAGTGGTTTAGTTGCTCATTCAACAAATCATTATTGAACCTCTTCTCTCTGCCAGTTCTGTTATTCATGCCGGCAATATACAGCAGCAAATGTAGGTGTTATCAACAAGGACGTGGAGAAAAATAAAACAGGAAAGGAGACTCTGAAGCCTGTGCCTATATCTGTGTGGGAGGGACGAGAAACAGGGAAAGCAGGGCAAGGTGCATTGCAAAGGCAGCATCTGGGTAGAGACATGTAAGATGTAAGGAAGGAATCCCTGTGGATATCTAGAGAAATCGGGTCACAGCCCAAGGGAATAGTAAGTGCAAAGGCCCTGAGGCAGGAACATGCCTGATGTGTTTCTGAAACAGTGAGTCACTGAAGCCCAGTAAGGGTAAGAATAGTAAGTGAATGTGTTCTGAGAGCAGTTGGGTCAAACTTCGTAGATTCATTTGCTATACTCTTGACCCCCTAAACACATCTACCACACCTCTTGGTGTGTGACTTCTAAAGAAGAAAGCTCACCTATTCAAAGTGTAAGTTGGTATAACTTTCCACGGGTCTTTGGCAAGCTGTACCAAAAGTCTTAAAATTTTGTATTCTGAGTAATTTTAATTTTCTAAGATGTTATCCTCAATAAATAATGAATAGCTTAATCATAATAATACCAACTCTTGTTTTGAGTATAATTTCCAAAACTTGAAAACAATCCAATATTCAACAATAGGGACTTATTAAGTAATTATGGTGTCTCATGTGTTCAAGTACAAGGAAACCATCTGTACCCTAGACTTCCTATTCATAGTCTGTACTGTCTTTGAATACTTCAGAATTTTAAAAACATATTACTTCAATTCAGGTTTCAAATACAATTACACACCTTAGATAAGAATTAATAAAGTAGGGCAACCCCTTCGGGTCTCCGGGAACTTTTCTGTCCTCTCAATAAATCCTGCTTTCTAAAAAAATTTTTTAAAAATTAAGAAAGTGGCCTCTAATGTGAATACAGACTGTGTGACTATTAGGTAACACTATTCAAGACAAAGAATACACGATCTTGGAGGTCAAGAAAATAGATAATAAAAATAAAAATGCATTTTAAACACCCTACTCCCACCTCTACATAAAACAGTCTAGAATTATACCACAAAGGTCATCTAACCTTGTAGGAATCAAAAGCCAGGCTTATTCTTCTACCCCTTTAATTGGCATTTATTTCTCAAAGACTGTTCAGGGAAAACCTGTTGAACAGGTAAGAATACAATAACGTGGCTCTGTGGAGAATAAGAGCAGAGTGATATACAAAGCAACCATTGAGAAAGCAAAGAAACAAAGGGATTTCCATTGGGAGTTCACTCAACTAGGCCCAGTTAGACCTCATCAGTTTTCCCTCACATTAACAAACCACAAGGGAAGAAGGAGGGAGCGGATATTAAGGGTCCCCTGGAGGGCAGTCAAGTGCACAATTGCAGAATGGATAATCCAATCCACATTGTATCCTCTTGAGTTTACATTTCCATGAGGAAATGGTTAGCTCCTAAGGCTTCTATTCATAGTCGCTGATGCTTCTGATGAAATATAGGAGAGAAAGGTTCTGGTTCTGGTTCTCTCCTTCCTGGCACAACCAGCGGTTGGGGTCATCCTTCTTTGCTGTGGAGCTGTCCTGTGCATTGCAGTATGGCTGCCAGCATCCCTGGCCTCTACCCTCTGGAGGTCAAAAGCCACTATAGTTTCAGCAATCTAAAATGCCCTTGGTGGAGAGGTGTTGAGTTAGCAAATCCTCTAGGCAGATTACTAACCATCAGAGCAAGCCATTCTTGAACTTGACACAAAGAACTGGTCTCATCAGGCTCTCCAGGAAACATCAACACACAGGCTCATCTCTTGATCAAGCATAACATAGAAGGAAATACATTTGAAAATTTCCAACAACAAACTTAATCTCCTGGTGTCAATTGCTTCCCCCAACACAGCACTCGTGGCACTTGACTCTGACTATCAATTTCTCCTCACTACACCTGGGCAAGGTCCACAACTCCTTCACAGCTATAGACCCATGGCGGCCACAGTAGGCATGTTAATACATGGTTGTTGGATGATTGCATGCCCTCCATGAGTAACATCTCATTAGAGCCACCAGCAATAAAACTGAGCTTAGTGTTATCAAAATTACCAAAGTCGATAACCCACTATTACTTAAATTGCCCAGTAAATATAAGCTATATGAATCCGTGTAGACAGCCGAGTAAAATAATTCTTATACAAACTGAAATTTAAGAACCACCAAAGAGAGAAACAAAAGGGAGGTCTATGCAGCTGGCTAGACATTCTAACCAGCATGCCTTCTAAGGGCACCAGTCAATCCTTGAAGGCAGCTAGGGAATGGGTGAAGAATTCTAAACTGTTCCTGCTTGCCTGTTTGCTGGCTTCACTTTATTCATGTTTAATATTAAGATTCTATCACTTCAATATGCATGCTGAATGGCTTGATTAAATGGGTACATTTGGACATACAGAGTAGAATAGTAGACACTGGAGACTCCCAAAGATGGGAGGGTGGGAAAGGGGGTAAGGGATGGAAAATTACTCTAATAGGTACAATGCACGCTATTCAAGTGATAGTTACACTGAAGACCCAGACTTGACCACTATGCACTATATCCAGGTAACAAAGTTTAGTTTAGGGAGTACTGTGGTCTCTAAATCTATCAAATCAAAAAAGAAATAATTTGCTTATAGTTGAGCAAATTAAATGAGAAAGAAGAGTCGCTTCTTACTCTAGGTTAGTTACTGAAGTCTGTATAACAGGTACATGTGACTGTAGCAAGTCCGTTCTTCTGCTGAATGTCTCCTTGGCTTTGAGTTTCATTTCAAAAACAATGAAGAGAAATCGCACTTGACTCCCACTTAGAAGTCTATGTCTACACACTGTTCTGTG